TATGGTCTTTCTAATGGGTTCTTGGGCCTTATCACCCAGAGGTGGTTAGGTAAGCGTGTATTTCGTCGTCTAGTGACATCAGTTTTACCAATTCTGGCAATATCGGTTGTATTTGCTCCTCTCTTTTTTTTTTTTTTTTTGTTTACTTGCTTTTTTTTGAGACAGGAGGGATAGGGGGTTGAAGAAAGTCATGACAGGATCGGTTTTTCATTGGTGTACATATTAAAGGGTGGCTCATAAGTATGCACTCGAAGTTCAAACAAATTCAACAAAATGATATAAATTTGTCTTATTAGAATGTTTCAAAAAGATTGCATGCATCGTGTGCGCCTTTTTGCGACCGATGCAGCTAATAACAAGAGCGGAGTTGTTAAGAAGGTTAGGCCATATTGAAGACCACGAGCTTTCTCAAACTGGCCTCACCTAATCCCTCACTCTTTCTGCATACAATGTATGTCAAGTAAGTGTACACTAGTCTACGTTTGTGGGACAGAGTTACTGATTATGTTGTGTGTGTGTGTTTTTTTTAGTTAATAGTTATTTCACTGTGGAAGATTTAGTGCAAAAACGTCGAGAAATATCTGGTAACTTGTTAACAACTTGCAGTCACATTATAGTCATGGATGCAAAGCGAAAAAAGAAGGCTGATATGAATTAGAAAGTGCGGTTGTTTAGAGACGTGAGATCTAATTCAGTGAGTTGGCTCGCCGTAAACCATGAAGTATTTCCTATTCGGAAGCAGTTTGTTAGCTGTATGTAAACGAAAATAGTTCAGTGGTGCTGAACAAAAAAAGTGCACAAAATTTGCTTTGCTTCTGTAGCCCCGGGTCTGGCATGTTGCCAGATTCGCACTGTGTTCCGGCGTCAAAACGGGAGGTGTAAGGATGTTGATACGCAAGAAAAAAATCGTATAAGCGGCCATAAACCTATGTTAACTCTGAGGCCGTTGTGTACCCTGACTGTTAATCTCAGATCAGTTTCGGGTCACAGTAAGTATGCTGGGATGTATTACGTTTCTTTTGTACTTTGTCTTCCCAACTGTTGTCAGCATGCTTATAGTTACTGAGTTCCTTAATGAATTTCTTGGCACCGAAGAGCGGTTACATTTCTAAATTCGCTTCGCTCTCACAAAATTCATTCATCCATGATCCTCGCTCTCTCTCTCTCTCTCTCTTCCTCTCCTTATCTCTGCCAAATATACGGAAGAGAGAGTGCTAAAGAGAGAACAAAAAATTACATATAAAAATCAAATTTTACAACTGATATCAACCTCAGCAGTGGCTAACGTGCTTGCTTCCTGTTGTCCTCTTCTGAGATTGGAATGGTGCAGTTTAAAAACACGATGTTTTCAGATCGAACTACAGCAATTGGGAGATGCTGGCAATTCATCGGCGACAGACGCTAATTCTTTCCAGGAGCATCTGCAAAAGCAATTATTTGATAAGAGAGACAAACGAAGAAGAAAACCAATTGAGTACCTGTACATTCTAGGGTCGTTAAGTGCAGTTCGTAAGAGTTTGCCGATAGAAGAACTGTTTTTGTTCTGATCGTTCCTGGTATATGTGGTTTCACTGTTTTGTAATGCGCTTATCAGATAAAAGTTATCAGTGCTCGCAGTTTCCCATTCAATTAAATACTGTATTCGAACAGCTTGAAAAACATCGGCAGTATTTGCTGCTCAGGATCCATTTATAACTGACTGTTTTCTTTTAACAGTAACCCATAATTTCTGGGACTTTGAAGACAGCTGCAAGCAAACCAAGGCAGGTACAACAGAAAGCTGTAAAAAGTGTTCATTTCCAGCAAAAGGTAAGGTATAAATTTCTTTGGGCCCTGCAAGGATCTGGATCTTCCGACTTCCCGAGGGACCGGTGATATCGGGGTTGAAACGAGGCCGTTGTGTGCGGTATATCTCAAATACAATCATTTCTTTTCCAGTAAGATACGTCAAGAGGAAAAACGTCTTACCAGTTTCCAAGCTGAATTTCGGTCTTCTGTACCTGGTGACACACAGGAGTGTAGTCTTTAGTGGCTCTATGGGATGCGTTTTGTTGCGCGGCGTACCATCAAAGAGATTCATCTGTGCCTTTTTCGAAAACAAGCAGTTCAAATTTGCGGCTGTTATTTCGCGAAAAGAGAGTGCGGGTGGAGGCGAACGGGAGTGGTAAATGCGAGGTGTAGCACGGAGTGGACGAGGCGACAGTTCCGTCCAGCTTCTAGTCAATGGCTTATTTTCATTTCGAATCCCGGACATAACGTTCCTGCAACAAATTCCTTCGCTTTGAAAAATCAGAAAAGCTGGATCTTAGCAGAATCTTCAAAACTGCCTAGTTCTACATCCTACCATTACACTGATGAGGGAGGTGACAAGCTTTTCAATGAGTTCAGGTCAACGTTTCGCGAGGGCAGGGAGAGGGAGGGGTGGGGAGGCGATTATGATACAAAATCTGGACGGGAGGTGAAAGCCAAGAAGAGTTTCACTGGTTGGCTCGACACCTATGCGGGAAGCGACAAAGGAGACAGGTCACGCCAGCGGTGACAAGATGAGTGAATTAACTGAAAATGGTGACGAACTCAGGATGAGGCAAGAGTTAAGAGCAAAAATTGATTATCCTATAAAGCACTGCGCGCCCTCGGGATTGTTCTAGTCAGTACTGTAACAGATTGCCAACTAGAACACTCTATTTCCAGCTAAGCTGAACCGTAAGCCAGCTTGCAGAAGTGCGGATGTCATCGCTTAGTACCACCTCATTTTCCATGGAATAGAGATATGAATATATATAAAATTATATTAAAAAATTAGATGAACAGGAATGTTTTCCTATTCATCGCCACAACTGAACCTCGTCAGTACGGTAGTTGTGCTGTTGACCTTCAACCCACACTGCCCATCCTCCTCGCTTACCAGTTTGATTCTACCGTAATTTCACACTGCGCTGGCTTCCAATTTCTTTGTGGGAAGGCACGAATCTGATGGCACAAATCTGCGTCACGATGAAACGATGGCTGCTCAGAATGCTGTGGATGCGCTTCATTATACGCCACGCTCTGTTCCCGTTTATGTGTCGACATTTACCTTTTCCGCATGTAACGAATCTTTTCCTGTTAAGATAGCCTGGTTTGTACGCAGCTCTTTATTTCCCGCACATCCGTGCTCTGTGTCAGGAAATATCCAGCACTCTGCAGTTATGCGGGTATTTCGAAAATCAACACTGTTAGGAAGATCAGACAGGAATGGTTAATTGTGTGATTAGAAATCTGGAAATAATACACAGGGTCATTTAAGCCAAAACCGATGTAGCTCCCACTAATTCAACAATAAGGAATCGTGATCTAGCAATTTTCCATCGAAAACCAATAGATTTTACATCTCCTGCAGAACAGGGAAAGACAACTCGATGTTCACTGGTACTTGGAATAAGCGGATCAACTGTAAATCAAACTGCGGTTCTCCATCTGTGCAACAATCAACTTCAGCAACTGCTTTGACCAATACTGCTGCATCGTCAGCTTGCTGGCGATCACGTTGAACAGTGGGAGCAGCACTAGCAAAATGCTAGTACAGTAGTATCTCATTGTGTTTTAGAAGAGAAGACGTCGTGGCGAAATATCAACACCTCTGTTTTGTCGGCTTCCATACTTAGTCCATCAAAACGGAAGGTTGTAAAAGCAATAAGTTGTCGGCAATGAAATTACCTTGAGCACAATTTTATACGGAGTTTGTTGAGATGCACAAACATGCAGTACATAGTCTCATGACGTTTTGCTCCAGTGTTATGCACCTGAAAGGAGTGAATCTGGATCAACCACTTCTATCAACGATGTTTTACGTGGCTTCGGACGCAGTACCAATGGAAAGCATTAGACCTGACAGGGTGTCAGAACAGTTCATACATCTCCGATGTAGTCTAGAGCACAGGCGAATCCTACTCCTTCAGGAAGCAGATCTGGAATGGCGGTCTGGACAACAGTGGTCAAGCAGTCCACCACGTGTCGGGGGAAATGAGCATGCGGGCAGCCTTTTAAGCATAGGGGGATTCAGGAGGAAGGGGGAAGGGGTGAAGGGTTTTTCGTCCCCTTCCTTCGGGCATCAGTGCTGCAAAAGTTCGGGTCTAAAGCTAAAACTAAAGCCTAAAGTAACTCTAAGCAACAGGAGAGTCTCTTCCCCAACCCCCCTCGCCCCCTCTCCTCCCCAACCCCGGCCACTCCTCCCCCCTTCCACTAGGGTCTGTCCTGGATCAGCCTATGCTGTCCGGGGAACACCCTCCATGCATCCTCGCCCGAAAAGCACTCGCGGCTCGCCTTTATCTAAAAAGCCCCTTCCCCTTTGTTGACCAGGAGTATTCTCCTCCACCATTCACTGCTCAACACACCACACACGTCCAACAGCAGCACGTGTAAACTTACCGTCCGACCGCACGCATAGACAAGTTTGGAAACAGTAGCCGTTAGCAGAAGGCTGCTTACAACAAGAAGCTTAATGCCTCGTGTAACAAATTTTGCGGCCACGGCCTTTCGTGCCAAAGGGACGTGTGGATGAACCAGGTGATACGGACCTGATACCGGATAGAGAAGAAAATTTACAAAATGAGAGGCGCACCTCCACGATTGTGCCGAGAAGCAGTGCGCAGAGCCCCGGAACAACCGGGCTAGGTGAGAGTGATACTGCGACCAAGAGGAGATGGCCTGGATCATAGACGAATCCAGGTGCCGAAGGGTCTTTCGCCCTTTCCCCGCCCTCCTTTCTCCCTCCCACCCTCTCCACCCAGCCCGGTGGCATAGACACCAGTGCTGCGAAAGCCCGGATTTAAAGTTAAAATTAAAGTAAACTAAAGCATAAAGTAACTCTAACTAGCATTGTGTTACAACTCTATTCCTAATTTCTGCACAGTTCTAGGGTGGGAAAGAATTCTTCCCCCCTCCCCCCTCCCGCCACCCCGTCTACGATTCCGTTCTGGATCCGCCTATGGCCTGGATTGTCAAAAGCAGACGGCACAGGGATGCAGCCACACAGCGAATGTGGCTTTGAACGCTGGGCACCCTTCCGACACATGCCTCTCCAGTGGTCAGCCAAGCGACCAGGCGATTCTTTGATTGATATCGGTGCTGCGCAGCGTCCACTGATTGTTAGCAGAGCAAACAACATTGAATTATACGTTAGCAGGTGTTTCAGTGGCCAAGAGATGGGAAAGCCCAAATTACGGCGTATCGCACGTTCCACAGAAAACGACCAAGCAGAATTATCCGGTAAACAGCTTCGCTGCACTTTTTTTACTGAAAAGAATTATGCGTAATTTGTGGTGGAATTGAGTCTGCTTTTCCGGAAAATTTTCCGTGCATTATTCGCTCACATAAAAACTCATTTTGGTCTGTACATGTGCCTCTTTTCATGGTTTTTCCAACAGTGTGAATTCAGCAGCATAACTCTAATGCGTGCGACAGTTCAGATCTGAAATCAGCTCACAGTTCATCGATTTGGACCTATCTATGACCCCAGTTATTCGAAAATTAAGAAAACTGCAGACTGGAAATTTTCACCGACTCATTTCCCGGACGTTTCGAGTCTTGGTACTTTAAGGGGGGAAGGAAATAGCTTGGAACAGTTCGTAGGCCCCGCTGCACTTCAGCTAATAACTCCAGCTTCATATTCAAGTTGATTTCGGTAACTCGACCACTCAAAAGCAATAAAATTTAAATTCTACTGAACTAGGCTATAAGTTTTGTTGTAACATAGCCGACGATCTATGATTTTAGACTCAAAATCTAGTCAATTTTTTGAACAGAGCAATTCAAAATACTGGTTTAACTTATCTCTTAAGGTATGTTAAACGACTGATAATAATCCTTTTCCTGTCTCCTCTTCTTTCCTATTTGCCTACAATTTTTAGTTCGAAATGTAAGCAAGTTCCCAAAATAAAATAAGCAACGCTTCCGGATCTTTCATACTTGTTGTGAACTGGAACTGCAGCTGGCCAAAGTAAGTATCATTGGCTGGATAGTTTCAAAGAGCACCGAGGCAAATTCTGTTTGCTGACTGATTGACCAGATGGACATGCATAACAGTTTGCAGTGTGTAACTGAGCGGGGTCCTTTATGTATGCAAATATTACTTGTTATACTTCTAGTTGTTTTGCTCATCGAATTCCTGCATTGAGGAAAATCCAATAAAAAATTGTTGTACTGGTCTGGGGAGACTAACATTTTCTGTTTCTTTCAACAAATTACTGTTAAGTATGGTGATTGGGGTAGACGTGCTCACCTCCAGATTTTGGTTCATGCTTGATGCTAAGGAAGCGCATGATCCGCCGCTGAACTGCCTTCAGATTGCCTCTTGAGCGCCTTCCTGAAGTGGGATCCATCAGCAGTTTTGTTGAGGAGCGATCGCTATCCATAAAGCGCATTCTGCCGCGTCACTTCCGAGTACCTGCATCTCTCACAAAAACACAACCGGTGTTCCGACTTCAATTTTCTAACAAATCGCTCATTGCTGCAGTGAATTGTTCGAAGGATGTTGCATTCGAGCGTGGGAATGATCCTGCGCTCCATCGCATCGAGGGATTTTGCACTGCCTTTTTGACGTCTTTGTTCGACTCGGAAGCTCCATCCAGCTACCGTGTCGGACTGCGCAACACTCGGTTTAGTTTAATTTTTTTTTCTTTTATTGGAGCACTGGAGAAATTTGCGCACAAAAAACAGAGTTATAGCGCGCCCGATTTATTTCGCTTCATTTGCATAAAGCGCGAATAAAAGACGGCCCACTGAACCGTACTGCCACTGAAACCCTAGGCTGGAACGCACCAGATATGTTGGTGCGACCATGCGTTTTTGCATTAAACTTGAAGCAGTCAGATCGTTAATTGTATGAATGGTTGTTATTTTAGCTTGCGTGTTTATTAGCGTAAATCGCCGCAAATTTTGTGCAAAGGAAAATGATAAAATTTTCACATGCCCATACGTAAGAACCATACACACCTGGGGACTGATTTTGAAATCTTTAAGTTGTAGGCGGACAGGAAACATCCGCTTAAAATTTCGGCTTTCCTGGTTCCCGAGTTAGCAGTTTTCTCACCAAAATGTGCTCTTGCATGGAGCCGAGTTGCGTGAAAGTTGGTACCGCAGTCCAGAGGAACCCGCTGGCAAAATTTCAGCGTGGAAGCTTACTTGATTGCGGAAGTGAAGTATGTAAACAGACGCACACGCAGGTACAGATACACAAACGTGCACACACAAGTATACATATACAAGCATACGCAAACAAACATACACCACGGTCATCACAGCATGCGTTTTTATGCGTTTTTGCATATATGCAAATTGCAAAAACGCATATTGGGAAGAGGCTG